CCGCTGCACAGTGGTGTCCCAGGGGTAGACGACCACTGTGAAAGTGAGACTGCAGAAATGCGAGATCTTTTCTCTTCCTTAAACACACAGTTCCTGCTCTGATTTCTCACTGATATGTCCTACAACTGAATTCACTTCAGGTAGTAAACAGGCCCTGTTTGAGCTAGAGAAGCACTATACATTAAACATATTTAGGGTGTACAGTGCAATTTTACGGTGGACAAGGACTATAAATCCAGGATCTGTTTTTGTTTTCCGAGTTTCTGTTTATCTACACAGGACCTGACCTTTTCCTGTTGAAAATTCTGCCATTTCATTGACGCCATCAAATTAATTTACTGCCTTCATTTCTTGCCCATAACATGGACGTCACGAGCGGTGAACGCAATTCCCTGAGACCTCAGCTGTGAGTCTGCACTAAGGAGCTTTCTCCGCAACGTTTTCTTTCTCTGCAGCTCACAGATGAGCACGTGGAAGGGCTACTGGACTTCTGTCCCCCGAATCTGCTTCAGAATTCTCCGTTAGTAATTGAAATAATGTGTCGACATGTCATTGTTTTATCTAACACATGGATTATTGGAGTCTTTGCTATAGCACAGTTTGAGCCATCCTTATGACAAGTAAAATAAGTAGAAAAGAAGGCACTGGACGTGTTAGTGCCCTGCAACTCTGAATTCTGTTGACATGTGCCACTACTGAAAGCTTTCTTTGATGGTTCAGCAAAAGGAAGCCATGTCCAAGCTGACTCTTGATGTGGAGCGACTGTGTGTTGATTATATTACGGCTTCCTCGGCAGCTATGTGGGGCGTGGGCTGGGTTTACATTGAGGTCTTGGGGGCTGGGTCGCCACTATTTTATCAGAGAACATCAATGACATTGTACCATGAGTTTGTGAATATGATCAATGCTTGTAACTTTTTCTATTGTTTAGAAGTAAAAGAATACTTTTTTTTTTTTTTTGACAGGCAGAGTGGACAGTGAGAGAGAGAGAGACAGAGAGAAAGGTCTTCCTTTGCTGTTGGTTCACCCTCCAATGGCCGCTGCGGTTGGCGCGCTGAGGCCGGCACACTGCGCTGATCCGAAGCCAGGAGCCAGGTGCTTCTCCTGGTCTCCCATGGGGTGCAGGGCCCAAGCACTTGGGCCATCCTCCACTGTACTCCCGGGCCACAGCAGAGAGCTGGCCTGGAAGAGGGGCAACCGGGACAGAATCCAGCGCCCCGACCGGGACTAGAACCCGGTGTGCCAGCGCCGCAGGTGGAGGATTAGCCTATTGAGCCGCGGCGCCGGCAAGAATACTTTATAAAGTTAGGCAAGGACTATGAAAAATGCCCATAAGGTTGGGAAAGATCAAAAAAAACACTTCCTATTGCTGGAGAAGAGACAGCAAGGATGCAAAGCAAGGTGGCGTGGGAACCTAAACAGGCTGTCTTCAAGGGAAGAAAGCGAACACCCCGGTTTGCGCTGTCACGCGTGGACCCCATGCAGCTCCGTTCCCAGCAGTTTCTGCGCTGAGGCCAAGCTCTGTGTGATCTGCTCTGTCCTATCCTGCGGCCCTCCTGTCCTCAGGACCCCCTGCGGCTCCCACCCTTGGGCTCTCTTTACAATCCAGGGGCTTCCAGCAGAAGGTTGGGGTCACAGCAAAACAAAAACAAAACGCAGGTGCCAGGAGGCCCCGCGCCCTGACAGGCGCTCTCTGTGTCACTCACTGCTGAGCCTGCAGCCCCGCATCACGCCACGCTGCACACACTCAAACACTCCAGTCTCCTAACAAGCTACGTGGGGCAGGGTCCTGTGGCTTTTATAAAAGCTAATTTTGCAACCAGTTCACGATGTTTGTGTGACCTCTGAAATTCCACGTTTGAGCCTGGGAAGGGCCACGAAGCCCCTCCGGCGTCAGCACACGGCGTTCCAGGATGTCACCCATTCTATGCTGGGTGTATCTGTGCCCAGTGCACAAGGGAGGTCATGCACGTTTTAGTGTGGTTCACAGCACGCTCCCACCATTCCAGATACGGCCGGACACCCCAGACTTGCGCTAGCTCCAAATGTTGTAAGCGAAATCCATTTTTCCTACTTTTAAGTAAAGCCGTTCTATTTTGCAAATTCATAAAATCACAATGGAGTTGGACCTAAACTGTGCTCTCTGTATTCTTCATCTCGAAGAACCAAACAACCACTGGGTGCTGAGTCTCCACCCCTGTTAGAATACGTTATGCCTTCTATCTCTATTAGGAACTGGTAAAAGAATTTGTGAGCTGAGTGTCAAATACCTCTTCGGATGTACAATGAACTTAATGCAGGACAGCAATGCAATGAGATGTGGATGTCGGTCAAAATTCCTACTTGCAAGCAGCAGAAACCAATCCTGGGCCTCTTGAGCAGGTGCAGGCTCTACCGGCAGGCCAGAGAAGGTCAAGAGGTTACAAGAATGGTCTGGTGGACGGGCGGGAGAGGAGCAGAAGCCCCGCCCTCACTTGCTGCTGCCAGGTGTCGCCCTGTGCCACCACACGCATGCTCTCCTTCCTGCCACAGTTTCTCACGCCCTCTCCAAGGTAGGTGGGTTGACCAAGCCCCTCTCTCAGACCACCTGGGGAGGAGGAGAAGCCAGCGGACCTCTTGGATTTTCACCGCGGTGGCTGAAAAACTTACCCGTAGGCCAGGCAGCCAACAATCCGAATCACAAACGTCCTCTGTGGCTGCCTGGGCTTTTATCCTGAACCAAAAATTCCTAAAGTTCAATGAGAAGGCTGTCTGACTCCTGCAGCCCCTTTAACGGGTCAAGGCAGGCTCATCTCAGACACAGGATGGAGGACCTTGGCACCCACCCCAACTGTGGACGCGGTAAAGGTCTGGCACAGAACTTGGGAAGTCACTAAATCCACCTCCTCTTTTTGACAACCACCACCAGAGAACCCGAGGGGCACAGAGACTGAACCAGACAGGCCAAGAGTGTAGCTCGCTGCTTTACCCCCGGATGACTGCGATAGCCGGGGCTGGGCCGGAGTTGAGGCCAGGAGTCGGGAATGCAGTGCGGGTATCCCACGTGGGCGGCAGGGATGCGATTACTTGAGTCACCGCCTGCCGCCCCTGAGGTCTGCACTGGCTGGCGTCGGCAGCTGGTGCTGGGTGCTCACCCCGATACTGAGATGGGAGCAAACACCCGCCCCGTTTACTTTTCTTCCTCTACAACAACACGCTGTGCATTTTATCTTCCTTAAAAGGATTTCATGACTAATGATGCTGATTAAAACAGAGACATCCTCAAAGAGGAATTCAGTGTTTAGTCAACATTCAAGGCTGCTGCCATGGGGCCCTGAGTCCGGGGCCTGTTTTATGGGATTTCTGCTGCATTGCATTAGTGGAAAATCTACGATGTGGTCTGCCTGTGTGTGTGCAGACTTCCCCCCGTGAATGTCACGCGGGAGATAAATTCTGGAAGACGTGTGGCCGTTAAATGCATAGTTTCACATAACTCTTACGGCTTCTCAACAGTGAGGAATCTGCCTCGCCAAGCGAGGGCCCACAATCTGTATGGAAAGAGTCTGGTTTTCTGTCTCCTTGGAAATAAAACGTGCGGCAAGATGGCTGGCGGCGGCGGCTTCATCGGAGCTGCCTGGATTTGAAAACAGGGAGTGGAAAAGGCTTTCCCGTCTCCCTTTGCTTCTGAGCCAAACCCAGGAGCAATCAGAGGGAGACTCACCGAGCTGCCTGTTTCATGCAGCTTTGTTCCAAATGCCCTTGCCCTCTAGGAGACACTGGGCAGCGGAGGTGCAGGGAAGGGGGTCTGACGGCCCCTTGTGCTAAGGGATAGGGGTCAGCCCCAAAACAGAACCCACGCTGGCATTCAGAACCAGCAGCTCCCCTGGGTCCAGAGCTGGCGGCAGAGCAGCCGTGTCTCCCAGGAAGAGAGGGCAGCTCAGGGCGATCCATTTCTGCAACCAGCCGGCGTGTCCTGTTCCACTGTCGCCGTCAGTGCAATGGACCTCAGCAGAAATTTCTACTGTAAGATTTACTTATCAGACTAGCACTATTGATTTTCCCCCACTGCCTCGTCAGTGGTTTTTAGAAAACTCTCTGCTGATGACGAGGCTGCGCCTACGTAACACCAGACACGTGGATGAAAGCGAGTGGTGGGGTGAGCTGGACGGCTGATTGCAGGGGACACCTGGGGACGTGGCTGAGCTCCATTTAGGTTGTTATATGGATGTCTGACATAATACAAATTATACTGAAACGATCTATAAAATAAGAATCCTGTTGTTAAAGCAATAATCTCTGAATATATTGTCTTTACAATGATGGGTTTGTATATCATTTTGAATGCAATGCTATATTTTTTGAAGAGAATTAGTAAAAGTAGCAAATTAAAATTCATCATAGAAAGAAAGCACTCAATTATAAAAAATATCTTTCTTTCTAAAAACACTGGTGGTTTTCTCTCGGAATGATCACCTTCTTTACTTTGGCCAAATTAAGGCTTTATGGGAAATCAGGCGGTCTCATTTAGATTTTACGGTGCTGTCATTGTATTGTATTTTAAAGGAATCTGAATGACATGCACTCTGAAGGCAGGAATTCAGAGACAGTGACTGGCATGCCATAAAACCTGCAGGTGCTTCACGCAATTTAGCTCCATGGTCTGATCACCAGCAGTCTTCCTGTGTGGGCTCAGATGCGGAAAGCACACCAACATCGTTTAGCAGGTTTGATAGCATTGTCACCTGACGGCGATTCTAAAGTCCCACAACATAAATTATGTCTGAAATATTCCATTAAAAATGATGTATTAATTTCTAGTTGTTTTGAATATTCCTTTAAAAAAAAAACAAGCAGAAAATTGCAGTTAGCAGAGACAAAGGAGATAGAAGAACCAGAAGTTGAAGACACCCAGCACGGGTGAGAGTAACCGTGTTGCGGGTGCAGGAGGCGAACGCCTTGGTTGCCACTCAGCGAATGTCTCATAATTTCCTTGTTTCTACTGCGTCTGGGAACACAGTTACCTGCGTGGTGTGACTCTCCCGGTGCCTCTGGAATGAGCGTATCGCCGTGTTGCTCACAGACAACCTGGAGAACCCGTCGTCTTCGGATAAACCTGTGGAGGTCAAAGAAATCAGGAGTGAGGCAGTGTCTCCTTGCCCCCTTCGTACTTCTTGTAAGGGACTAAAACCCGGCATCATCACCTGCTGACCTGATCATCAGTGCATACTGAGTACTCTACTTGGCACTGAAACCCAGGGATACGAAACACAGGTGCAGTTCCACTTAGCAGGAGAGGAATCTCCTGGCAGGAGGGATGAGATAATGGAGGTAACTGTCGTGGCAGCAGGAAAGTTGGCCAGGAAGCGTTGGACGGGGGAAGGGAAGGTGCTCCTGAGGGATGAAGCACTCAGGTTGTGACAGAGGGCAGGGCGGCAGCGAGGCAGAGAAGGGGTGAAAAGCTGGAGGACGTAACCAGGTCTCTGTGTTGGGTAAATCCCACTGTGGGTATTCCATTCTGCACAAGAGGGAGGGAGGTGATTGGCTGAGCTTCCAGGAGGAAAGGTTGGGGATGCGCCCATTCACAAAACATCAGTTCACAACCGTGAGTTAATTAATATGCAATAGGAAAAATCGTGGGCTCAGGAAGTCCACCCGCTCCCACCCCAATAATACAGAAGCACTCAAGGATTTTTATCAGTGATCCTTCAACCTCAGCGCTACGGGCACCTCGGGCGGGGGGTTCTTCGTGGTGGGGGTCACTGTGCTTTGCAAGACATTGAGCATAGTCCCTGCCATCCACCCACTGGACGCCAGCTGCGCCCCCGATCACGACAACCCAGAAGGTGCCCAGGTGCCGCCACGTGTCCCCTAGGGAGCACAGCCATTCCCCGACAACGGCGGAGAACCTCTGTGCCGGATGTGTCTTGTACCGGCACAAGGGACTTGACAAATGAACACCAACAGAGAGAGGAGAAATCGCCAGCCAGGGGAATGACTTCAACCTGGAGAAATGCAAATGCCGAGTGCTTGCCACTCCCACTCGAGAGCAAAAGTAACTAGCACAGCGTCATTGATTAAGCACATACAAGATTCCTAAATTAAAAATCATTAGCAAATCACAGCACATTTTTTCCAATCATAGGACAGCCAGTTCCTCGGGGAAGTTCACACAATCCTGTCCACACACAGCAAGGCCTGCCAAGTGATCTTCCAGCTCAGCACCGGGGGCTAACTTCATCGAGACTGGGCGGACTGCTGTTCGGGACTGGTCTCAGCCATGAGCAAAAGCCACAGTCGTGGGGGGCAGGCGGGGACGCTGGGCTGACGCGCTGCGGCAGCACCCTGCAGGGAAGGCTGGAGCCACGCAGGTGGTGGCAAAGCAGCCGGAATTCAAACAGGTAGAAGGCAGCCTGAATCATCCAGGATCAGCACAAGGCAACGAGACCAGCAGAGAGCTGGCCAAAAAACCAAACATAACAGAACGTCTCCACGAATCCCGGCACCGCAAGAAGCTTAGGAGTGGAGAAGGACGGGTGGCAGGAGAGGCAGGCGGCTGATGGACAAGCAGGACGAGCAGCTGGGCCACCGGACAGGCCGCCTCCTGAGACGGGGGAAGAGAACGGTGACTTGCTTTTTCCAAAACTAAATGACACGGTAGACGTTTGCTGTCAGAATCCGAACAGAAACTCCGTGTAGATGATAAGGGCACAAACTCAGCACAAAATCAATAGCATCACGTGCATTACACAAGGTCAATTAGGTATAGTTCAGCAATATTGACGGACAGCTTCTGAATATGGCCCTGGGAAATACACTGGGGAGTGAAGCGACACCCCCATCCTCCAGGGGCTTCTAATTTAATGACAATGACCCCTGACCCGAACACAACAGAGTGAGTTCAGGGTTAAACAGAGCCAGGCACGAAACAGGAACTCGGAGACAGTGTGGATTACTCTGACGGAAGGCTCAGAAGACACTTCACGGAGGTGTTGCCAAAGGATCGGAGCCTTCGAGGCCGAGAAGCATTGTGCAAGATGAGGAGGGCTGGCGAGGGCACACCCGATGGAAAGCAGGCAGGCACGGCAATGGGACGCCAGGCTGCTGCACGTCCAGGTGGATGGAGACGCGGGGGAAGGCATGGGAGGGAGGCAGGCCAGATGGCAGCGTGCTCCTCAGAAGGTTTCATAGAAACATGACCGCGTGGGGAGCGAACTGGAGAGATAGGGCCCTCATTATCCTAGCAGTGAATTAAGAGGCATCTCACACCCCTGCACTAAAGAAATCACCAGTCCCAGAAGCTGTGGAGGACCTCAGCTGAGAGGGACACATGGCACACGTGAGGCAGGTGGCTATGCAGAGGGCAACCAGGAGCCAGCACTGGGGGAGGGAGGGAGCAGGGGAGGGGGCTGCAGAGGCCTCTGTGACAATGTCAATGTCCTCCCCCCCAGTGCAGGAGGAGCTGACAAAGCCACTAGGACCGAGTGGTGGAACTGGGACTGGTGGAAGGAATCCTCCAGGCTCAGCCACGCTTACCACGGCCAGCACACCAAGGCAGTGTGGTCTGGGGGCAGCACAGGGACAGCCTGAACGAGGCAAGGCTGCCAGGAGGCTGCATGGCAGGGCTTCTGTGCATCCATTTCTCGGCCAACACGATACTTTATTGCTGCCACGTTAAAAGGCCAATTATCTAACGACACATTGCACCAAAGGCACAAACCATGAAGGAAAAACTGGATTGATGTCTCTGTGAGATACATGAGAAATGCATGTTAGAAATATCACAAAGATAAAATGCAAATCTAAAAAGAACAACATAGAACATTTATTTACAGCAATTAAAAGTCTTACGGGGCCTGTGCTGTGGCACAGTAGGTTAAAGTCCTAGCCTGCAGCGCCGGCATCCCAGATGGGCATTGGTTGAGTCCTGGCTGCTCCACTTCCAATCCAGTTTCTTTTATTTATTTATTTATTTATTTATTTATTTATTTATTTATTTTTGACAGCAGAGTTAGCAGTGAGAGAGAAAGAGAGATAGAGAAAAAGATCTTCCTTTTTCCATTGGTTCACCCCCCAAGTGACCACTATGGCCAGCGCTCTATGCTGATCCAAAGCCAGGAACCAGGTGCTTCCTCCTGGTCTCCCATGCAGGTGCAGGGCCCAAGGACTTGGGCCATCCTCTACTGCACTCCCGGGCCACAGCAGAGAGCTGGCCTGGAAGAGGAGCAACCAGGACAGAATCCAGCACCCTGACCGGGAATAGAACCTGGTGTGCCGGCGCTGCAGGCGGAGGATTAGCCTATTGAGCCACAGCGCCGGCTCAATCCAGTTTCTTGCCAATGCACCTGGGAAAGCAGTGGAAAATGGCCCAAGGCCTTGGGCCCCTTCACTCATGTGAGAGACCCGGAAGAAGCTCCTGGCTCTTGGCTTTGTATCAGCTCAGTTCCAGCCATTGCAGCCATTTAGGGAGTGAACCAGAGGATGGAAGACCTCTCTCTCTCTCTCTCTCTCTCTCTCTCTCTCTGTCTCCACCTCTCTCTGTAACTCTCAAATACTAGATAATATAAGTAATATAAATATTATAAATATGAAATAAATACTAGACAAGTTTTTTTAAAAAAAGCCTTAAAATATCCTCCAAGACAAAATAAAGGACCTACCCTCAGATTTTTAAAAATGGTTGAAGAATAAATAAAGAGAATCAAGGAGACCCAGGTTAAACAGCCAGCACATAATAAGCAGATTACTCATCACCACTGAGTGTGCAAAGGGATTCAGGTAAGAGTCCTCTTTCTAACCCATTTTGCCTGTCAAAATAACAAGGATTTCAGAACTTTTTATTACAGAATCCGAAAGACACGTGAAGCAGCGGGGTGTGCAGTGGAAGGCCGTGCCCCTACGGCGACCTTTGGGATTATCAGGGTTCCGCACTATCACCTGTCACACCCTGTCTCTTCTGAAAAACCCCACACAGAACGTCATCCCACCGGGCAGATGGAGCGTGTGGCCCTAACCCGCTGCCTGCCTGTCTTGTAGGCACGGCGAGGATTTCCCCATGCGGCTAAGGGGAATGCTGCTAAGAAAAGACCCCCGAAAATGCCTAAAGGCTTGGGGGCAGAGAAGTCCATGGTACATTTTCTTTCTTTCTTTTTTTTTTTTTTTTTTTGACAGGCAGAGTGGACAGTGAGAGAGAGAGAGAGAGACAGAGAGAAAGGTCTTCCTTTGCCGTTGGTTCACCCTCCAATGGCTGCCGCGGCCGGCGCACCGCGCTGATCCAATGGCAGGAGCCAGGTACTTCTCCTGGTCTCCCATGGGGTGCAGGGCCCAAGCACCTGGGCCATCCTCCACTGCACTCCCTGGCCACAGCAGAGAGCTGGCCTGGAAGAGGGGCAACCGGGACAGAATCCGGCACCCCAACCGGGACTAGAACCCAGTGTGCCGGCACCGCAAGGTGGAGGATTAGCCTATTGAGCCGTGGTGCCGGCGTCCATGGTGCATTTCCACTAGCATTGAGAATGCCAGGGCCCCTCCAAAAGCCGAGCACGCCCTGGCACTAGCCTCTACTTTCAAAGGCTGCACCTGCCCAAACTGTAGAGGGTCAAGGTCTCCACAGCTTGCATCCGTTCTGCCCTCCGACCCCCCAGGCCTTCTACTCAGAGCAGTAATGCAGAGCGGGAGTCCCCCAGAGCTGTGTGCACAGGACATCACAGGGGACCTGCTGCCCGGCCACTCGAGGGTAGGGGAGGAGTTTGCAGGAGCACCAGGCACACTGGAGGGTGCAGCTGCAGGGTAGGCGCCCTCCCTCTTCTAGGGTGCCCAGTGCTGCTTCGTGTCCTTCCCCAAGGCCACAAAGAGCACGGCTTTGAGGGCGTTCTGGTCGGCCATGGTGTGGATCTGCCGCCTGGAGCTCTCTTGACTGCGAAGGCGCTGTGGATGTGAGAGGCTGTGGGTCCTGGCATCTACAAAAAAGGCCCAGGAGGGTTCACGGAAAGTCTCGTGAGAAGTGAAGGAGCCAGGACACTGCGTGTGTGTGCGTGCTGAGCGAGGAGGACCTGTTAGTCACCATCTCGGTCATTTTGAATGTAAAGGATGACCAGATCAGAAATTATCTTAGGGGCCAGTGCTGTGGCGTAGTAGGCTAAGCCTCCGTCTGCAGTGACAGCATCCCATATGGGCACCAGTTCAGGACCTGGCTGCTCCTCTTCCAATCCAGCTCTCTGCTGTGGCCTGTGAAAGCAGAAGATGACGCAAGTCCTGGGGCCCCTGCACCCATGTGGGAGACCCAGAAGCAGCTCTTGGCTCCTGGCTTGTAACTAGCCCAGCCCTGGCTGTTGCAACCATTTGGGAAGTGAATCAATGGATGGAAGACCTCTCTCTCTGTCTCTCCTGTTTGTAACTCTACCTCTCAAATAAATAAATAAAAATCTTTTTTTTGAATAAAAAATTTTTTAATAGGACTTCGAAATGCTTCTCACGAGGAGGAGCGGGGAAAGTTCTTGTAGATGCCACCAGGAGCTTTTCTCTTTGCAAAGAGACCTCTGTTGCTCAAAACAGGTCGTTGCAAAATATCCCAGAGAGTCAGGCGGAGACACGCCTCCTTTCCTCTGGCCCTTGGGCTCTGAGTCAGGGGACAGAGTCAGTTCCAAGGAATCTGTACAATCTCCATAAGCAAAGTGTGCAGCAAAATGCATATTTAAGTCCATTTCACGGGTTCTCAGCCAGGGGTCTGGATCTATTTTGAGGTGAAGCTGACGGAAGCCATTCTCGGACGGTCCCATGAACAGCGGCTTTGGAGCTAGCGTGGTGCGGAGTTCAGTGGGGTGCCTGGCTCAGGGCAAAAATGCAGCTTTCCCAGTCCCATAAATGATCTCACCCGGGGCTTGCCCTTCGAAAGACGCTTATCAGCACAGATAACCCTTAGCGTGCAGGGAGGCTGAGCACAGTGCAAGCCAGACAGACAGTCTTCATAGAAAAAGTAAACCCAAAAGGAGGGGTGTCCTCCCTGCCTGCCGTCTTCCTAGACGCCCAGCAACAAAGCCTATATTCAGTGAGCGGCGAGAAAGAAAATCTCACCCGTCAGAAAAGGCCCCGCTTGGAATCTGAAAAAGAATTCACTCTATCCTCACAAAATAAACATCTTTATGCTCAGGCTGTTCTGCTTGATACAGCGAAAACGTGCTGACACTCACCACCGTTCTCTAATCGAATGATAAGTAACCGCAAGTCCAGGGAATAATTAAGGGTACAAAAAAAGACGGGAGCCTGTGTTCACATCAGCAAAAGGATGGCAATTAAAGTAAGTGATAGCTATAATTACTCACACATAACTATATTTCTGCAAATGAACAAACAGATAATTATGGCGGGGAAGCAGAGGTGGCACATAGATCCTGGCATTCAAAGGAGAAAGCCCTTCCCAGGAAGTGACACTCTGTGCGATCCGGCTAGAACTTCAAGATATGGCAAACATTTTCACCTCGAGCCCTTGTTTTCATTGAGAGTACGCTGAGAACCGTGAGTCGGTACTAACAATTGCTTTAAGCGTCGTCAGGACCATGCAGGTTCCGCATGCTGCCGTTGAGTGATAATCCTTGCGGTCTTAGGGTGCTAACGCCGTTTCTCCCACGATGCCCCCTGATTCACAGGTGACACACTACCTTCTTTCACTCAGTGCTTTCTGGGGGTCCAATTGCATTGGGCATTGGGCTGGATATCCTAACGATCATGGCGAAGTTCCAGGGAAGCCCCCAGAATTCCAGCGTTCCCGAAAGCAGACCAGTGCAGGCACGCCAAGCTGCTTTGAAAGGACAAGTTTCCAGGTGAAATGATGCGCGCGCCCATAAGTTTTGCGCTCTTCAAGGGGTCTGGCACAGGTGACAACAGGGAACCGGTTTCATTGTAAAATGCATTCCCTGCAGGGAGACTGAGACCAGTGCTCTGGGTTGGGTGTGCGGGGTCTGGAGCCTGCAGCAGTCAGAGCTGGGGGCTCCTGCCACCTCCTCTCACCAAGCCATGCCCACAGGTACTTCGGTTCTCTCCTGGGTTTCTTTTGGTTCTACTGGCTTTCGGCTTTCTTTAGACTTTAGACTAGGACTCCTGGTATTTTCTTGTTGAAAATTTCTTGTCTCCCAGCTCCTCATCCCCGTCAGGCACCTGTCACACGATGGACTGGTGAATCTGGGCACCATTAAAATGTTTCCTGCGGTGCTTCCTCCTGTCTCCCGCCCAGATCTCTGTTCAACTTTCTTTTAAGCGAACCCTGTGCAAGTCAATCACTCTCTCTTGGCTCAGCCAGAGGGAGCACCTCTGGGCCCTCACAATACCCTGGGATCCCCCCCCCCCTCCATGGAGCAAAGACTGAATTTAGGGACTTTCTCCCAACAAGCAGAATGTGACTGAGCATAGGGATGCAACCCCAAGGTCACGCAGGTGAAGACTGGGTGCCGGCTCTGGGGTGCTTGCCCCTGGGGAAGCCAAGTGCCCGGCTGTGAGGCTGCCCTGACCGGAGGCCCACGTGACAGGGCCTGGATGAGAATGTCCTGAGATTGGACACGGTCACGTGTGTGCCCTGGGAAATGCGACATTTCTTAATCAAGGCTCGAGACGACCCTAGCGTCGGCTCATCCCTGCTGCGCTGAGTTTGGGGTGCAATCTGCCACACAGAAAGGGACAGCGCAATGCAGTCACCAGCCAGAAGACTCCCGACTGACGTCCACTTTTCCACGACTATGAACGACACAGACACTCGAGGAGTAGGGTCCTGCTCATTGCAAAGTCTACACTGAACTTGGCAACAAACCGCCGGCCACCGTGTGTGCTGTGGTCTGGTGGGGCCGGGACTTATCTGGTATTTCTCAGCAGGCTTTTCTCCGACGTTCCTCCCCCTCCGCTCCCCAAGATCCCAACAGCCTCTCACTGTGTCCTCTGCACCTGCGAACCATCTTATGGAATTCCCCTTCTTTGCTCTGGCTTCTTTGTGTTTCATTCTGGAGATTTTTTTCTGGCTTCTCTTCCACCTTTCCAGTTGTTTTTCTGTCGATTTTGGTTTTGTCTCAAGCAAGTGTCTAATTCAACTTGCCTTCACTCTCTGCTGTAGTCATTCCGTTGCTGTCTTTTTCAGATTCACAATCTCCACGAGACAGGCTTCGTCTGGTTTCCCATTTCGACTGAACGGCTTATTCTCGAATCTCTGGAGCAGAGAGGAACACTTAGCTTCGGTGCACTACACGTGTTCGGGCTTCATCTTTGGAGCACCTGTGGCTGCGCTGCAGGCGACAGCTACTTCTGCTTGTAGTTGACGTATTTTGCATGCGCACGTGCCTGGTTAGCTTTGACTGTGAGAGGCTCTTTCAAAGCCCCAGCTGCTCCGATGGTCCTGACCAGATTTAGCCGTGCTTCTCCCAGGAACCCACGGGCCCGGTTTTCCCCTGGGGCTTCTTGATCCTACTCTGAGCACAGAGCACAGCTGTGCTTTGGTGCCTGGGTCTGGCTCACTCTGACTCTGCGATGGACACCTCGAAGGCCCCGCCCATGGTGCTGGTGAGCCCCAGACCCACTCTCTTCCCTGCCATCCCAGAGGCTTGGGGGAAGCTCAGCTCGGCATCTCAGCTGCCCTCTCTGGACAGCTGGGTGCCCCTAGAGTGCCCGGAAGGAGAGCTTGGATGCGAGCCCCCTTGGTGACAATGCACCCCTCCCCACCCCCCAGTGCCTTCCCAGGCTCTCACTCCAGCGCCTTTGATCGGAATTAACAAAACCACACTCTGTTCCACTCTCCTGCATAGTCTCAGGGAAAGCTTGTCCTAAATTTTCCCAACAGTCTTTGCTAGAGGCCCTGGACTTCCTTTATACGTGAGAAAAAAAAATGGTTTCAGCATCTATTCCCCATTACTGGGTACACACAAGCAAGCTGACTTCGAGATGATAAACTCATAGATGCACCTAAAACACTACAGGAAGTAGCTGTCGCTTCCACGTTTCTTAGTTATGAGGAGAAATATATATTTTTACACTCCAGCTGCTGGTACAGCATCCACCTCTCCCGCTCAGTGTAAGACGCAATTTACAGCAATCCTCCCTGACCTCCAGATTCCTGAAAAGTCAGCAAATACTAGCTAGAACAGTATTTACCTTAAGTAATAATTTGCTGAAAATAATATTTATGGCGGAATCATAGCTAATGTTCCGTTTTCTCGTTCCTAAGCCATCTTCATCTTTGTATTTTAAATCCACTCTTCCTGGAAAGTTGGTGCAGCTTAAAACTTTTCTCCCTTTGCTTCCGGGTGTGGAGAGAGCTTACCGTTGGAGACTGGATTTCCATTCTCAGCAGAGATCGCACTGGACAGTGAGCTGGAGAACTGAGTTGCGTGGTTATTTGCATTTCTGTCTTGAGTCTCCGACGCAAGTTCTGATGTAGAGAGATCATCCCGGGTAGTCAGGTTCATGTTCGTTTCAAAACCTAAAATAAATTTCAGAAGAAATTATTCCTTTCTGATAAAAATGTACCAAAGACTTGAATACAAGTTTGAAAGAAAGTCATAAAATTAATGAGATCAAATCTTAACTATGTTTAAAACAAATTGATAATAATCCTTACGCAAGTTGCAGCCCGCTTAACTCTCACCAAACTGTGCAATGACAGTAGAGAGAGAAGTATTGTGGTGGGAATAAATTCATGATTTGTTTTTCCAAGCATATTCATACGCAGATCACGTAACTTATTGTAGGATGCCCATCTTTTGAAGGCAGTAAGTTCATGTCCCAAGAGCTTTCTGAACTATTAACTTTAAATACAGGAAGGAAAACTTACACCTTTGACGAAACAGGAGATACAAGGGTACTTTCAAACAGCTCATGAAAAGTGGAATTAAAAGTTGTTTTTGCAATCCATGCATGTTTTGTTTCATAATCTACATTTTCTGTGAACTCTCTGAAGGTCCATTGTATATTTTCAAACATACACAATGTGACTGCACAGGATTTCGTTCTCCGTTTTGGAATATTGATCTTCAAGACTCCACCTCCACATTCTACGCACTACTTCCTGAAGTGAGGCTTGTGTGTCCAGGTTGTGTGTTCTGGGATGTGCCCACACAGAAGCCATGGCCCACATCTGATCCACACAGAAGCTACACAGTGACTTCTCCAAACCAGGGAAAACGCGGCGATGCCAGGGCTTGGAGGGTTCAGGTCCCCGTGGTCCCCACAGACCTTCAGGCAGGGTCGCCAAGTGAGCAGAAATTGCAGACCAATGTCAGTGTCCCCACAGGGTCCCACACAGCCCCTCCCCCGTCCCCAGCACTGCCTGATCCTGCCCCTGTCCCAGTGTCCCCCCAGGGTCCCACACACCCCTCCCCTGTCCCCAGAACTACCTGATCCTGCCCCCCTGTCCCGTGTCCCCCCAGGGCCCCACACAGCCTCTCTCTCAGCTCTGCAGGTGCAGCAGGGATTGTCCTTTGCTCCCCAGGAAGCTGCAGAAAACCTCCCACCTCTTGGTTTTATTTTTTATCATTTTTACAGGGTGTTTTGCACATTTGGTAAAGCGTAACCTACTTATCCTTCCTCTATATGGAACCACGGATGTCTCCAACTTTCTTTTTCTTTTTTTTTCACCCAGAAACCTTTCATTTAAGGTATGCATGCATATCATACATCCAACTTTAGGAACACAGTGATTCTTCCCACCACACCTGCCCTCCCACCCACACTCCCACCCCTCCTCCTCCTCCCTCTCCTAGTCTGTCTTATCTTTTACTAAGATCTACATTCAATTAACTTCATACACATAAAATTAATCCTATGCTAAGTAAAGAGTCCAACAGTGGAGAAAGGGCTGTTCAAAGTCATTGGCTCTCAAAGTGTCAATTGCACTTCTACAGACTACCTTTTAGGTGCACTACTAGTTACCACAAACCAGGGAGAACATACGGTATTTGTCCTTTGGGGACTGGCTTATTTCACTAAGTATAATATTTTCCAGTTAACGATTTATTTATTTATTTTTGAAAGGCAGAATTTCAGAGAGAGAAGGGGTGACAGAGATGTTCTATCCACTGGTTGACTCCCCCAAATGCTCCCAATAGTCAGGGCTGAGCCAGGCTGAAGCCAGGGGCCTGGACCTCCATCCTGGTCTCCCAGGTCGGTGGCAGGGACCCAAGTATTTGTGCCATCATCTGTTGCTTTCCCACGTGCATTGGCAGGGAGCTGGTTCAGAAATGGAGCAGCCGCCCAGACGGGATGCTGGGTTTTCGCAGATACAAGGACTTCCTGTTGGCATGCAGTGCACTGTGACCATCCTGAAGATAGACCTTTCTAAAGTTCTAGGCTAACAAATTACTCAAAAGAGATAAGAAGCACCAGACACATTGTTAGTCTTTTGTGTGGTGAACACAGTGTCAGCTGGGGTGGCGATGTTATCTCTGTTTTAATGAAGAGGGCATCGGGGCTCCTCACTGCCATGTGTCTGGGAATAAAGATGCACTGCCACCAACATGCTTAGAAGTCAGCAAAACCGCTGTTTCAGGGAGAGAGGGAGAGGGAGCAAGAGAGGGAGAGGGAGGGAGAGAGGGAGATGGGGAGGGAGGGAGGGAGGGAGGGAGAGGGAGGGAGAGAGGGAGAGGGAAGGAGGGAGGGAGAGAGGGAGGGGTGAGGGAGACAGGGAAAGGGAGAGAGGGAGGGAGAGAGGGAGATGGGGAGGGAGGGAGAGAGGGAGATGGGGAGGGAGGGAGAGAGGGAGATGGGGAGGGAGGGGGGAGGGAGATGGGGAGGGAGGGGGGAGGGAGATGGGGAGGGAGGGAGAGAGGGAGGGAGAGAGAGGGAGGGGGAGATGGGGAGGGAGGGAGAGAGGGAGGGAGAGAGAGGGAGGGGGAGAGAGGGAGGGAGGGGGGAGAGGGAGGGGGAGAGAGGGAGGGGGAGAGAGGGAGAGGGAAGGAGGGAGGGAGAGAGGGAAAGGGAGAGAGGGGGGAGGGAGAGAGAGGGAGGGAGGGTGGGAGAAAGGGAGAGAGGGAGAGAGGGAGATGGGGAGGGAGGGAGAGAGGGAGATGGGGAGGGAGGGGGAAAGAGAGGGAGGGAGGGAGGGTGGGAGAAAGGGAGAGAGGGAGAGGGAGAAAGAGAGGGAGAGGGAGGTAGAGAGGGAGAGGGAAGGAGGGAAGGAGAGAGGGAGAGGTGAGGGAGACAGGGAAAGGGGGAGAGGGGAGGGAGAGAGAGGGAGGGAGGGTGGAAGAAAGGGAGAGAGGGAGAGGGAGGTAGAGAGGGAGAGAGGGAGATGGGGAGGGAGGGGGGAGGCAGATGGGGAGGGAGGGAGAGAGGGAGATGGGGAGGGAGGGAGGGTGGGAGAGAGGGAGAGGGAGGGAGAGAGGGAGATGGGGAGGGAGGGAGAGAGGGATGGACATGGAGGGGGAGAGGGAGAGGGAGGGGTAGGGAGAAGAAGGGAGAGAGGAGGGGGAGGGAGAGAGGGAGGGGCAGGGAGAGAGGGAGATGGGAAGGGAGGGGGGAGGCAGATGGGGAGGGAGGGAGGGTGGGAGAAAGGGAGAGAGGGAGAGGGAGGGAGAGAGGGAGATGGGGAGGGAGGGAGAGAGGGATGGACATGGAGGGGGAGAGGGAGAGGGAGGGGTAGAGAGAGAAGGAGATGGAAGGAGAGGGAGAGGGAGGGGTAAGTGGAGAGGGAGAGAGGGGGAGGGGGAGGAAGAGAGAGAGGGGGGAGGGAGGGAGTGGGGAAGTAGGGGGAGGGAGGACAAGAGAGGGAAGGAGGGAGGAGGGAGGAAGGCCCGCCCCTCCCCAGCTTGCCTCTCAAGCCTGGCCCTGACTTGGTCCTTGCTACTCCCCCTCCCAGCATCTGCTCCGTGCCCCCTGCACCCAGGATGTGGTCCTGCAGCAGTGGGTGTGCATCCCACTGAGTCAGGACTGTGGTGTGCACCTGGCCTCCACCTGCAGCTGCTCCCCCTCATCAGCCCCGCACCTTGCTCCCCGCCAGTCGGCCCCAGGCCAGGTCACCTACAGAGACCTGTCAGGCGTGTGGACGGTGCACAGTGTGCTCTGCCCAGACAGTGGGAGCTGTGGAGACTCAGGGGCAGGAAATGCTGGCGGGATGAGCACGGAGGCAGGAGGCGCAGAGGCGGGAAGACGTGGAGGGCAATTGCATCTTTAACCAAAGCAGCAGCAAGCAGTGAGGTTCCGCCCCTGTGCAGCTGGGGCGCAAAAAGACCTCCGGCCACAACAGAGGCTGCGCGGACACTGACGCAGGTGCAAAGGTGAGCGATCTGGACGGTTCAGCTCTTGACAGCGAGAAATTCTGCATCAGTCTAAAAGGAAGGCCATCAACTGAGCGTGCTCAGCTGTAGTTTGCCTTCAGCCGCTCAGTGAAACAGGTTTGGTTCTCAAGCTATGTTGCGACACTGAGACACATCGCCTGTTTCTACTGCCTGGCTCTTTTATTCCACAGTCCTCACCTCAGTTGTTCACTGAGTCCTCAGTCCCCAGTTGTTCACTGAGTTATTCAGTTACATCGGGCCAGGCTCCTAGGTGCTAGAGATGTGAGTACCCCCGACCTAGGGCTCAGAGTGTGCCTCCCAAAAAGCTGATATAAGCAAGCAACACACACACACACACACACACACACACCGGTGCAGGGGTCGGGGGCTCCCGCTAGGCAGCCACGAACACTGGTGGGCAGCTACACAATCTGGCAGCTGGGCTCAGAGCCAGGATGCCAAGCCTGCAGGTAAGTCCCTGGGAGCAGGGGGCAGTGTGTGTAGGAAGGCGACCTGGGCACACGGGTGTGCAGGCTGGAGGCAGGAAGAGCCAGGTGATGGCGTCCTCATGGCTAGGTGCGGGGAGGCCAGAGGGAGACAAGGGAGATGGGAACACATCCCCCAGGAGGAGCGAGGGCTTTGCTCACAGTGCTCGGGAGGCTACGGGTGGAGGACAGTGCGGGTATTCTGCCGACTACCACGCCAGTCTTCTTCCACGTGAGGGAAGGGGCTCCCTCACCTGGGACCGCTTCCGCAGGATTACCACGTGATGGCTTCGCTCATAACTCATTTCTATCTCATAAAGAATCGATGCACTTAAATGAGAACTAGCAACTTCATTTTCACCAACAAGGGTTAAAAGTATTTTCACGTTGGAGTGGGCGTTGTGGCACAGGGGGGTTAAACACCTACCTGCAATGCCAGCAGCAGATATGGGTGCCCGTTAGAGTCCTGGCTGCTCCACTTCTGATCCAGCTCCCTGCTAATGCACCTGAGAAAAGCTGCAGAAGATGGCCCACGAGTTTGGGCCCTGCACCCACGTGGGAGACCCAGAAGAAGCTCCTGGTTTTGACTAAGTTGATCCCTGGCCGTTGCAACCATCTGGGGAGTGAACGAGCACATGGATGATTCTCTCTCTCTCTCTCTCTCTCTCTAACTCTGCCTTTCAAATAAGTAAATATTCTTTAAAAATATTTGCATGTTTCCACTC